AACCAAAGTTTAAGCGTACAATCGATTTACATCGAAGCAGAATTCTCAATTATTATCAGCTGATATCTGTGGACCACCATTTGTGGACTTTGCGCTGAGTTTAGGAACATGTCTAATTATTTATTTATTTGCATATTATACTGTTTATAAGTCAATAAATAAATAATGTGAAATGATTAACTTTTTTAAATAAACCATATTAAAGGTACTTTAGAGGAAGACGTATATGAACATTGGGCATTTAAGCCCTGTAAAGTGACATCAATGGGGATAAGACCTAATTGATATTAAAAACCACTTAATTATACAATGATACACCGAGTTTAATCAAAATCGTTTGAGCCGTTTTTGAGAGAATTGTGAAAATGTGTTTCAGCGTTGATATAAAGTGGCACTTCCGGTTAGCCGATTTTAAGGGAAAAGTTGCCGTCACATCTAAGCCATATACCTATCTTAAATACGTAATATCAGTTTCGTAGAACTTTTCGTTTTTGAGCTAGACTGCTAACATACACACACACACAGATACACAGACCATTTTTCGGGACTTGGTCATTTCGACTCAGATTAGCTCAAAACGTCTATTTTCGTTGAAAACTCAGATTCAAAAATTTTCTCGATCGCAATACTTACACTTACTATATATTACATATATAAGTAAGTGAAAGTAAAAAATATATGTCTATATAAATATAAATAGTTGAGGCAACAGTTAATAGATGTTCTACAAGTGCATTGGTTGAGAACCCGGACACCGCCCTAGGGGACCGTGCGAGGGAGGGCCACTAACACAATAGACCTACTTACACAGTTCGTGCTCCCCCACTATCGATTTCTCGACTCGATTGAGGGGAGCAAAAAATATCGACCCAAAAGCCTACGGTCCGAGGGGGACTGTCAACTTCTCCACCAACAGCCACGGCTTTTCCAACCTTCACTTTCTTCAAAGTTGCCTTTGAAGTTTAGAGTATTTGGAGTTGACGTTATATATCATCATAACTTAAAATTATACTGTATTTATTATTTATAATAGACTACCTTTGGAAAATAATTATTTACTTAATAAGTGATTGGAAATATATCTACAGTTTAATAGTTGATAAATAATACACAATAATCTCTGAACTTAATGCATTATTGCTCTCAGTCAAGACCTATATGTATTATGCTAACGGGTCTTTGTAGTTTTCTTACTAAAAGTATAGAATCATATTTCTGAAGATATAGAATTCATACGTGGATGTGTTTTCATTTATTAAAAATATAAAAAAAAAAAAAATTATTTTAAGTCCCCAAGAGATCATAGAACAATTGTCTAATCACTTTTTCGGTTTTCAGTGTTGTTACCTTCATGGTCCGTTCTATATAAATTCCATCAGTTTCATTCTCTGTTTTCGCTTACGCATGCGTAAAGTATTTTCCAATGCACACACCGAAATTTGAAAAAATGGCCCCTTCGTTTAGACTGTAAGTTAAGCTCTAGGCCACCTCCCCCCCCCCTTGTAGATCCACTTGTGAAGTTAAGAAAAAGTGGCGATTAGGGAAGAAATTTATTTTTTATTAAATTAACTACTGAATCCTATTCACTACTTTCGCCTTGAAAATGCACTGAAGTATTTTCCGTCTCACGCTTATATTTCAGATGAGACATGTTCTATTTGGCCTAAAGTAAAAAAAAAAACCATTATCGGTCCTGGCAAGTAGATTTCCTGGTGTACCATGTACTGGTGCGTGTCTACATCTGTATTAAATTTAATGTGGGTGTGTAAGGCACTCTGCAGCTACACTAAGTTTAAATTATCGTTAACGTTAATTTCCCTTACAATCTACGAAGATTTTTAAGTAAATGTGCACTAATGATACTTTAACATGGATAGAATATTCCGATTTCTGTAGTCAGGTTATTTGATTAATATATTTACATTTATAAAAATAGCAGTTCTTAATATTTTATCTAATTTATATGTTTTGTAAGATAAATTGTTATTTTAATAATTTGTTTTATTTTTTGTTGCAGGTGAGTAATTGCTGAGGTTTTTCTCTTCGTCGATATAATGAAACTCTACGTGGGTAAAGTATAGTATACTTATAAGAAAAACTATACATCTCCCAAAATATTAATTATGCTCAGTTTCAAAGACAATTATTTAATTAAAATCTATCTTCTCAGCTCTGTGCATCTGTGTCAGAATTATCTTGAGTTAAGGTTATAGTCCGTGGTATAGACCATTTTTTTTTTTAATTATTAATATCTGCCTAAAACTTCTCAAATAGGTCATCTCATCGTAACCTACAAATTTTATCATCGGTTATAAATATTCAGGACGCAGTCTTTTAAAAAATATTCAATTTTTTATTTATGCCAACGTTTCAACCCATACATATGGGTCATCTTCAGTCATTACTCAGTACTTTTCTAAAAGACTGCGTCATGAATATTTATAACTCTTGATATGTAGAACAGTCGACTATCTTCCTTCAATAATTCTATAAATTTTATATTTCCAAACATTCTCGGAAATGGAGCGTTTTCAATCTGCATATCGGCAAATTTTGTCTATTTAAATAGATTTCAAAAAGTCACGAATACCTGTTTCCTTTTCACTTGAATCGTTGGATAATTTAATCACAAAATCGAGAAATAATGTTGTCCTACAAAAATATTTGGCCATTTGACGTGATTTCTTTCTACCCTCACATGTCAAAATAGCGAGGTTATATAGGCCAAACGGCCCAATATTTTTGTTATTCAAGGGGTATTTATAAGATATTAGTACATCATTAAATTTAAGGAGAAAACTCTTTATTTCTGGGAATTTTCGTAAATAAAAAATTTGTAGGTTACGATGAGATGAAGCCATTTATAAAGTTTTAGGTGAATATTACGAAATTCATAAAAAGGTATCTGTACCATGGATTACTATTTTAGGTTATTATCATTGAAATTATTATTAATTTAGTGAATTTTATTTAAAAAATTATTATTATTATGTTTTATTTTATTTTATATTGAATGGATCATTTTTTTTTTTTTTTTTTTGAGATTGTTTTTATGTTGAATTATTATTAAAGGTCATTAATTTAGAGAATTATTATTTGTTTGTTTAATTAGTACATTTCTTTTATACATTTATAATCCCCCACGTAGTCTTCAGTTCTATTTGTTGTAAATGCGCAGTGAAAAACAAACTCAGTTTTATCTATTGTTATATACTAGCTGACCCATGCGAATACTCCGTACAAACCTAATATTTGTATCTGATTTTAATACAGGTATTTAGTAAGTTATCAGTTTATAAATATGATTTACAATCTGCCATGGTTTAACCATTGCGTTTACTTAAACTTAGAATTTAAATATTAGCTTTTTCTTTCATTAGTTTTATCATGATTATAGCTTCTAAACATTGTTTTAAACATCTGATAAAGGCAAAAAAAAATAAGCTCAAATTCTCAGATAGATATATTTAGTCCTATCAGTATGTATGCTATTTTAACATTTTAAAAAAATCGAAGTTTATTTTTAAAATGATAAAACTTCAATAGTAAAATTGTAAAAATAAATGCACATTGACAAAAATTCCATGAAGTGTTTAAAGAAAGACACATATAATTAAAATAATTAAAAATAATCAAATCTTTTTAATATTATAAAATAAGGCTATGTTTATTTCTTCACCATATTTATTTCAAATTATATAGCTACGTTTCGGTCGCTAAGTCATCTTCAATCCATTTTATCCAACCATGCTTTTTCCATGTAGTCCATAGTCAGATTGTACTGCTCTGGACTATATGCAAAAAGCATGGTTGGATAAAATGGATTGAAGATGGCTTACCGGCTGAAACGTAGCTATATAATTTGAAATAAATATGATGAAGAAATAAATACAGCATGATTTTATAATATTAGAAAATTTTCATCTAAAAGAAGCACAAATGAAATCTTTTTAATTAAAAAAAAAAAAAACTTATTGATAAATTATATACTGTACCCCGTAAAAAAAGGACCAATTCCCAAAATCCTTTAATTCCCATATACAACAGAATATTTGTAGTAGAACATATACTTAACTTTTAGAACGCTTTAACTCTGCACCAATGATTTCTTCGATTTTTTTTTTTACGTTTTGTAAGGTAGAGAATTTAGTAAGCTTTCAAAAATTATATAGCTACGTTTCGGTCGCTAAGTCATCTTCAATCCATTTTATCCAACCATGCTTTTTCCATGTAGTCCATAGTCAGATTGTACTGCTCTGGACTATATGCAAAAAGCGTACTTTTCGAGTTATTTGCAAATTATGAATTCATTTGTTACGTCTCGATTCTTTCGGCACCATCATACGGTTTTTTATTTTAAGGCTTCAACCACTAGGGTCATTATTGTCTTATTTTCATTGAGAATTAGATTGTATTTTCAAGTTTAGAACATTTCAGAAAAATAGTTTATCAATTTCATTCGTATTGTCCTGTAAAATGAAGTGTAGATAGTTTGTCAAGTCACAAGATAGTTTACATGTTTCGTAATCTCTGCATTCTGTTAAAATGTGTTTTACTGTCAGAGGAGTCCCACAGAATTACTTCCTCTCTGCGGTCATTCCTATTTGACAATGCCCATGAGGAACCTCACCCTTTAACTCCCTAAATTTATTTTCGGTTACATTTGACCATATTTGTTGCTGTTTGATGACAGTTATAAAATCTCCTACAGATACTCCCCGATAAGGTATTCCATCAGTAATGGTTTTTTTGGCAGCTCGCATCTTACGGTTTGAAATCTCCTACTTTTACACCCACTTTAAGTCTTGATATAAAATTAGGAATCAAAATTACGATTCGCGCACTCTACGTGATATTCCCTTTCTGCTGATACCTCATACGTCAAAATCCATCTCGCCTGAGAGCCGGAAAAGGGAATATATATTTGAGGAATAATATATAAAGAAGATTATGTATGACAATATATTATCATTTCTCCTTAAAGAACAAATAAATGTTTCATGACTGTTCGATTACTCACGCTCGCCGATGGTACACACCTTCGACATAGGCCACTCCCACAGATGTCATTACGTAGTGACTATGTTTTCCTATTCACTCATCGCTCACTACACAATCCCAGATATGAGCTGATGCGGCATAGACAAGAGGGAACTTCTGCTGCATTGACGTATCGCATGACGTACCTCGCTTCCTATCCTGGAATAGATATTCGTCTACTAGGATGATATCCTTGCAGTAGAACACAGAAAATCGGTGGAAGAAGAAGTGGGGTTTTCCCGTATCTATTTCTCACCTCGTCACAGTTTAATCGCGAAAATTATTTAGATTTTAATCAGTTCTAGTCCATAGTTGAAGTGTTACGGTTGTGTTAGCCATCTTGTGGATTAGTGTAGAAGAAATTTAATTTACGGATTTATCTTATGTAAAGTAAGTAGTATTTTTGAACTATATTATTTCTATAAAACAATTTAATTAAGTGTATAAATTAATATTTTATTAACTAGCAATGTTGCCTGAATTGGACTGGCAAATAAATTCTTTCAATTTGTATGCCTCTACCATACAGTTCTTTATAAAACGAATTAATTCCTGAGGTCGATTGTTTATCCTGTTTGTAATATGTCAACAATCATTTCTGTAAACTCTTGTTAAAATTAGATTACTATTGTATTTTATATTGTACTGTGAAAGTGGAAGAAATAATCGGCTTGTTTTGATTTATTATTTTTAAAGTGGTTAGCTCATACAATTATTTTCAATGTTTATGGAAATGATGCTTAGTCATTTATCAAATGATCAAATAGTTTTGTCAAATTTTGTTATGGAAATTTTAGCATCAATGAAGCTCCACGGTATCTTCGCCTAGATGAAATTGAAACGAGGAATGTTGTGGACTTTGTTGAACAAAATGTTGACAATTATCAAAATTAGGTCATTCGATTCGTGAAGAAGCACCCAGAACTGGCAAATCGGATGGGTGTTATTTTTCACTAAGGCCTCATACCTGATTGGTCCCTGTAACATAGTAACCTATGGTTATGGTTATTTATGTAACAGGTGACTATAAAGAGTCACTTGTCTTCGTTCTAGCATAGAATAATTATTTTGTGATGCCGTAATGTGATTGGGAATACAGCAATGAAGAAAATTGCTTCGAAAGTCCAAGCAGAGGTTTTCTGTCGTATCGGCGAGATATAATAGCCAATTGTATCTGCTGCTGGACTAGACTTAGGTAAACTTATTACTTTTAATTATTGTGCCATTTTTTACTTATATATATATATATATATATATATATATATATATATATATATATTCTTGTTTGTAATACTCATGTGCATAATCTGTTTATGATTAAGTGAATATTAAAGGAGCATTTTATTTTGTTGCAAGTTTCTTATATTATATATTTTTGTTTGTATTATATATTCTTCTTTTTATATCTAACGTATGACAATAGAATTATATTAACTATTATTGTTAATCTGGTTATAGCACTTATTAAGCTTTGGATGGATCATTTTGCCACAATCCTCCCTATTCACCAGACCTAGCTCCATGTGACTTTCACTTATTTCGGTATCTTCAGAACATTTGATGTACAAAGTCATACGTAATTAATTTAATGAGATACCAGAAACTCTTGATTACCCAATCGTACGATAATTTGATCACAAACCGGAGAAAGAATTGATGTACATAAATATTGTTTCATTTGATCTATAAAACCTCGTCATTTTTACATGGGTCACGCCGAACAACCCAATATTTTTGTAGGCCACCTTTTTCTTGATTTTGTGATCAAATTATCTTAGCATTGAAGTGGATAGCCAATGGGTGTTTGAGTTTTTATTATATCATCAAATAGGCAATGTTTTGACAATCTTCTGATTAAAATCGGCCCATTTTCGTAAATCTATTGTTATTCTGTTACAGTAAATATAAATATTTTATACGATTATTGGTACAATCTTTTTTTTTTTCTCCTTCCCCCTGCATAAATACAAACCTTCCAGCTACACTAAGCCGGTATTAAATGTAAACAATCAGATTTTTTTTTCTGGGAAAACAGGCTTAAACGAAGTCGAAGCTTAAATGATGATCTTAATTTGTAAAATTATTATATATATTTTGTTGTTAAATTCTTTACAACTTGGATGTTAATTATTTTTCAACCACAAACTGCTGAGTACAATTGAAGATGATGACACTCCATAGATTAAATACGTCGATGACATCAGCCATTGGAAGTAACGCTAACTGTTTTACATAGAAAAACATTTGTATTTCACATTAATTTCAAGTAGTTTAATTAATTCGTCGCCTGATAACGCATGTTAGTCAGCGCTGTGTTATCAGCTGCCATGGCTACGTCAGCTGTTCCCATAGTAACAGATTGCCATTCCCGTGTGGGAGTTTAAAAAAAAATCTTTAAAGGCTTTTCCATTTAAATTTTATTATGAAATTTCTTTGGAATCATTGAAGGTTATAAGGTCTCCTCTTGAGATCTGTTATTTTTATTCGTTCTGGAAAGAAATGATCCTCTTCACTGTTTTATCTTCTGTCTTCCAATTAAATATAATTTGAAGTTTTTCTCGCTAAAGCGGATTTTTCGATGTAGAATTTTCGAGAGAAATCTTCAAGAGTCTTCTTCCAAATTCAGTCGAATTATAAGTCTTAATTGGAAAAGTGTCATCAGAAAATATTTATGTTTCTCGTATAAGATTTTATCTAATGATTCTCTTCCTCAGGCGTATATGTTTCTTATTTTAAATAAATATACAGGGTTAAGTGGCCAAACTGAAAATATGTACTACTTTATTAATTAAATGTAAACATTAACATTTATATTAAATGTTGTTGAAAGTGAAGATAGGTCCACGACAGTGACTAAATTTAATTATCCCAATCATTGGATTTTAACCCAAACGCTCTCCTCACCTGGACACCACTGGATTTTTCAGTTTGTGGTGACATTCAACAAAAAATCTATGCAAGTTCGTTCCACTGACCTGAATTCCTGAATGCGGATCTGAAAATGGATAATTGAATCTTGTGAAACAATAACACATATCCAGTTTCGTTCTGCCACTGCTGCTGTTGGAGAAAGATGCCGAGCCTGTCTTAATGCTCAAGGAAATCACTTTGAACAACATTTAATATGTTAACGTTTACTTTTAATTAATAAAGTAGTTGGAACAAATAAATAAGTTTCATTTATTTCATATAGCGAAAATAATTCATAACAATAAAAATCTATAGGTGTGATAATCTCCTAAACAAAGCGTTTGCGGACATACATTCAGAATTTTTTTTTTTTGTTCTGAGGTCCTTAGTTCATTTTTGCAGTTTGGCGACTTAACCCTTAAACACCCTGTATATTATGAATAATGAATACGACATGATTATATATCGTTATACCGCACGTCGTGGGAAATGTCTTGAAAACAGTTGAGTACTTTTTTACGCAACTAATCTCTTTGTCTTGCCTTGAATTATGCCTTCATGAATTTTTATTTAGGTTAATATATTCCCTTATACATGTCTGGTTGATCTACTTTTGTCATTTGCGTAATGAAATAATGATTAATAAATCAATGAAAACATTACAGCTTATATTAACTCCACATGGAATTAGCGGCATACAACGTAAGTTCAGGAATGTCCATGTTTTATCTCGTATAATTCGAAACAAAATGGCGAATTATAATATGGTGTTCCTAGAATCATCTTCAAATGTCCTACTGGTGGTGTTGGATTTAAAATACTGATACAACTTAGGTTAAAATTGGAAAATTTCAAGAACCACTTTAATAGCATTTAATAGTTAGTTTCTTTCTTTTTATTCCCTAATAATTATCGTTATATATATATATATATATATATATATATATATATAAAAGCTTTTGGGTTAAAGCTCCCCTCTCCCAAAATTGAGTTTTGGAAGTCTACGACTGAAATCGAATCATAACACAAATAGTTCCAGTAGTACAAACAAGTTAACTAACTAAATTCAGCGCTGTGCTCATCGATAGTAATGGAAATCCATAAGACCATCCTTAAACTCATCGATGGAATTAATCTTGTTCTTTTATACATCAATTAAATCACCGATGGCTCAGCAGTTCCATTCACTTTTGGGGTCGATCGGTATAAACTCTGTGTTGTCATTTCTCAATTTAATTTAAATATATATATATATATATCGGTTTACTTTCTATCAATATTTATTTAAATTTTAAAATTTAACCGTTCGTTAGTTGGTATTCCTATATCTTTTTTATTCTGCTTCCTCACTGCCGAAGGTAGAGAAGCTTTGTATTCGTCCGGGAAGATTTCCACTTGCCTTTTGCGTTTCAGATATTAAGGATCAAATTTGGTTCGGTGTCTGTCAGTCTGCTCGTAGTCAAATCGATGACGGGCATATCATCTATTACGGTTAATCCGATTTTTATGAGATTTTCAGAGATTATGCGGGTTGCACCCATATCAATTTCATAAAATTCCGTATAGTACTTCTGGTTGCGCATGCGCAAATGTATTTTCTTAGATACGGCAACATTTCAGAAACGGCTCAATTGATGTTGCTGTAAGGAAGTTATTCTAGCCCCACGTGGCAGATGTTTTTCCATATATTTTTTCTACATACATTAATACATTTTTACAATCCTTGCGTAGGAATTCAGCAGGTCGGTCCTAAACTCAGTATAAATAATTCTCCATCAGTAGTGATTTTAATCGATTGTCGAATTCCATCGATGGAATTAGCGCTGAATTTAGGAACTAGACACTGATTGTAAAAAGCTGTTGACACAGTTATTAAGTAGCAGTCATTCGATACTTAAAAATGTTTGGTATCTTTGGTAGGTATGTTAAAAAAAGAAATAAAATACCTTTTGTTATTCTGTTCGGGAAATAAGATCCATATAATTCGATAATGTAGTTTCGGATTACAGTTACCTTGACGTCTGCTTCGTCTGGTAAATTATATTATATAATATCATCTATATGCCTTGTAATTATACATATACATAAACACACAGAAAAATACTAACCCGGAGATAGTGTGATACTTTTTGCTGTTACATAGCCGCCCTTGGCCGTGACACTAATAATGATGTAACAGTTCCGAATCCTGCCCAATTTCACTGAAGCGAGTAATACCCGCTGTTTCCAAAAGAAAGTAAAAACTTCTACATTTTTTTTAATATTTTGTAATTATATA